TTTTTTTTTTTTGGTTCTCTCTACCTAGAGGCTGAGGTAGAGCTTGCAAACACACCCTAAACAACATATCATAATCCATTGAGAGTTGTCTTTACCATCAACTGAGAAAGTCTAAGAATCTACTTTTACATAATAAAAACTACAACTATAACATGTTTTCAACACATGGTTCCTTTACCATCTACTTTTGTACACTTCCAAGCTCCATTAGTGCTCTTCCTCGATGTTTTTTCAGCAGCATTACTCATCATCAACGCAAGCTGAAATCGAAGAAAGAGTTTCTTAGGCAAATTCATGCATTGTCACTTGAATGCACAAGCTTATGACTTGCAACAAACTAAATATGGTACGGAAGTTGGACCAAAATTTTGAGAAACTTATTGGGTTTTGTTTACAAATGTTAATTGTGTTTGGATGAACAATTAATTTTGTTAGCGGATAACATTATTGGAAAATTAACTCTGGTTAACAAAAAAAAAAAAAAAAANNNNACAAAAAAAAAAAAACTCATTTTGAGCGGATATATTTGTATACATAACACGCCCTTCTGTAAAGGGAAAGCAAATTCATGAGTATAGATTTCTCCAAAGATGGCCTCATGATCTATAATAATCAATCTCTGCGCAAGTGCCCGCAAGAGGAAAGAGTCTATCTACACAGTTAGCTGCCCCTACTTTGGGATATTGCAATAACTAGGTTGGCTCCTAGGCTAAAGCAACGGGAGGAGGTACCGCTAACACTTTGGCTGCATGAAGGCTCGATGTAATTGACCCCAATTTAGACAACAAGTTTAGCAAGCTGAATATCAAGGACCATAAAAGAAACAACATATGCAGAACTGCTAAGTAGCATAATAACATTACTGGAATATTCAAAATGGTATTCAATTTCATATCTTGATATCCATTATATTTAACCTTAATCCCTACAGAAAATAACATATCATCCCCACACACACACCCTTCTTTTCATTACTTCCTAATTTTTCCTCTTAATAAATTATAAACGGGAAAGGCTAAGGTCCCGTTACGGAACCATTCTGTCGGGGTTCGTAACCGTTAGATCATCATGTAACCGTCAGAGATAGTTGATCTACCGGTTACAAACCCCGATGGAAGGGTTCCGTAACGAGACCGTAGCATTATAAACATCCAATAACACAGAGCAATTGGCAAACATAATCCCAAATTAATCAAGTCTCTCTCTCTCTCTCTCTCTCTCTCTCTCTCTCTCTCTCTCTCTCTCTCTCTGTCTAAGTGAATTCAAAAAAGGCACATTTATCATTCTATTCACCTTTCCCATAATACCAATTTTCTCGAAAAAAAAGCATAAATATTCTGAATTATTACACACAGAAATGGCGAAAAATTAACAAAGAAAATTGATTACCTCCACAGCAAAAACAACAGTAACAGCAAGATAGAATCATGAAAACTTCTCCGCAAATCTGACCAATCCTCAAACGCTCTGATTTTTCCGAATCAGTTGTGTCACTTTCCAGAAGCTGCTGCTTATTGCCTTTAGATTGGTTCTGCTGCTGCTGTTGCTGTTCAGTGTTCATACGGTAGAGATTCCATTCCAAATTCTTCAAGTAACTGATCTTGAAAGAGTCCCTCAGCCTCACGGATGGCCATAGGTGCATCTTTTGGAGCGATAATTAGACGCCGGATTGAAGAGTTCTTCGTCGACACTGTAATTTCGCTTTGAAAATAAAATTTAGCGAAAAAAATTGTTCAGATATTGATGGAATTATTGAAGCCAACTAGGTCGAAGATAAAATTATAGTTGGGTTATAGGACAAAAATATTTTAAAATGAATAGTATTTTTTTTTTTATTTTTTTTATATGGGGTTGGAGTTCGTCTTAGTCCATAAATGAGCGCTGCTCATGTATTATACATATGCTAATTAAGAAAATATACTTAAATTGTTTAAGTTTCACATATTTCTTGAAATGTTGCATAATGATTTATATTTAAAATGATGATACATGTCAATTATACCACTTCCCATGCTATGCTATGAGTTTGGTAGATAAAATTATTTAATTAACAAATAATTCATTAATATTGATAGTTATCTTTTTTTTTTTTTTT